AGAGCAACCAGCATGGAAAAGTCGTGGTGGGGATTCTGCTACCAGAGACCGAACAGTTAAGGAGTGAGCCAGAGCAGAAGTGCCACAAAAAAGATTGAGCAGGGGAAATTGGTGGAGCACAGTGAGAAGAAAGAAAAAGAAGTCACATCAGGCTGTGACACAGGGACATCAGCAGAACTACTAAATCCAGAGGAGCAGAGGACAGGCAGAGCAGAGGGAGCTCGTTTCAGCCCTGCTGAAGTTCAGGCTGTTTGAAAGAAGACAACCCAAAGCCTACAGGTAGGGCCAACAGGTCTCAGTTCAGAGAAACCAGTAACCATCAAAATCACTGCCTAGACAAGCCACTTTAAAATGGGCAGTTCTGGCAAAAGTGGCATGGGCTCTCAGAAACCCAGTGGCAAGTGAGGCTCCTGCTCTGGGGCAATGCATGCCCACAGCTCACCTTAGCAATGGAGATGGTCTGCTGCTCCATGGCCTCGTGGATGGCCACACGGTCATCCTCCCGCATCTTCACATCCGAGGGGGGAGAAATGAGGCAGGGAAAAACAAAAGTCACCATCAGTCACCTCCACTGGACTTCAGCTACACACCCACCAATGCTGACCCCAAGGTAAAGCTCCGTGAAGACCTCTGCCCAAGGGTGCAGTACACAGCCAGGATTTCCCTCCAGCCCTATCCGCAGAAGAAAGCAAAGCAGTCTCAGGAGAGTCACCCCTTCTTCAGCTCTAGGCTCTCCTGGGAGCAGCCAGCAGCCCAAGCGCTCACCTCCCCACTCCCGCACAAGCAGCCCCATGGGTACCTTGTCGAACTCATCGATGCACACCACTCCCCCGTCCGCCAGCACCATGGCTCCTCCCTCCATGAAGAAGCCTCTGGAGGAAGGGTCGCGGATCACCGAGGCCGTCAAGCCGGCAGCACTGCTGCCTTTCCCCGAGGTGTATACCTGGCCACGTGTGGGACAAGGAAGGGGACAGCACATCAGCCACCGCAGAACGCAGGAGCCCACCATTCCAGACAGAGGACAAGCACCCCCAGCACCACAAAATCCAAAGCTGCTGGTGGAAATACAAAGCCCTCCGTGAAAACTCCTCAGCTACCACCAAAATCAGACCTGCTGGGTACAGAGCAAGACTACTGCCAAGTCCCAGGCCTTTGGGTAAGCAGCTGTGACACAGCGGAGGGCTTGTGGACACACAAATACAGGTACTGAGCACAGAACAGGGAGTGAATCTTTGGTGGGATGCTGCATTAGTTTTGCTTCCCCACCCCAGGGAACAACACCCAGTCAGAGTCTGAGTTTAATAGAGACTACAAGAAAACACAGCTGAAAATATAATTTCATGCCTGGGCTCAGCCTGGAGGACCGTGCCTGAGATGCAGTCAGCTTCATTTGTCCTGACCAGCCAGCCTCTCCACTGATCAAGTCTCAGCAATAAACAACAGCACCAGTCACATCTTTGGATGTCTGCAAATAGCCCAGCTCATATCATAATGAAAGGCACTACCTGCTTCCCCTCCCCTCCCTCATCCCCTGTCCTGCACCCCTTCTCTTCCAGATCAGCACCAGAAGTAGCACTCTGCACCTCTGTCAGACAGCATGGCTGTGGATGCAGTGGCAGGTATCTGCTGTGACCATGGTCTGGTTTTCGGTGCTGTACAGGGAGGAACGAGCCGCACTACAAGCAGGCACCTCAAACCACCTACCCCAATGGGCGAACACTTCTCAACGAACTTCAGCAGCTGGGATTTGGCCGTGCCGGGGTCACCCAGCATCAGTAAGTTGATGTCTCCTCTGCGGGTCAGCCCATCCGGGAGCCTGGAGAGACAGCGTGAGAGGAGAGATGGTGAGCCTTCATGTTGATAACCAAGCATTGCTGACAAGTGGCAGGGGGCTGGTAGCACCACCAGAAGACTCTCAGAGCTTTGTGCCATGATTGACACCCCTGCCACCGCTCTCTCTCCACCAGGCTGACTTTTCCCCACCTCTTGCGAGAGCCCCCGAATAAGAGGCAGGCAATGGCCTTCTTGATATCAGTGCTGCCATAAATGGAGGGTGCGACGCTTTTGGCAATGGTGTCATAGATGTTGGGCATGGCAGCAAGGCGACGAAGTTCCTCCTCTTCTTGAGGGGTCACTGAGCCAGCAAAGCTGTGTCCTGTACAGGGATGAGGAGACCAATGCAACAACAAACAAATGGATGTTTTATTAAAGTAAATGACACTATTCCCTCCTCTCACATCTGCTACCACCAGAATCCCTTCTTCAGGATGCCACTGTGTGGAGAGGGCAGACGTTTGCTATCTCAGCAAGGCAGGCTGTGTCCTTAGAGGCTGCTAGTAAAAAGCAAGGATCTGGGGCAAAGCAGCCCTGGAGGAACCAGAGGGAGAATTACTGTCAAGACCATGTTTTAAATACAAAGCTCAACTTCAACCATCGACTTCAGTCCAGATCCTCAGGGATGGCTTAGCAGATTCCCACTAAGATCAATAAGATAAAAGTACTTACTTACCCTAAAAGACTGAAGCTGAAGTCTCCTCATTTAATACCACAGAAAAAGCCATACTAGACATGACTATAGAGCATCCAGGGCAAGTTTGACCCCTGGAATGGCTTGAACCTTCTGTTATATGAACAGCACAGAAGGACCCAGGCTGTGATTTCATACAGTCATTGCTGAGGGACCACAATGTTCATGAAGGGGGCTGTCCCAACACCAGGCTACCGACACAGACCTGACAGTCACCAAAAGCAGCCCTCACCTGAGCCCTCCATGTCCACCTGGATGCCCACCACTCGGATGTAAGAGCTTCGGATGCCCACACCCACATTGTCACGGCTTTTGTTCTTGCTCTGGGCAGACTTCTTGATGGAGTAGATGCCCATGATAGTGACTCTGTTCCCTGGGACAACTTTGTCACAGAGGTACCTAAAAGGAGGAAAGGGACAGCAGAACATGGTAGCAAGAGAAATGAGGGCACCAGCAACACCCACTAGCCCCATGGGGTAAGGGTGGGGAGACCACGCTGGTACCTGTCGCAGTACAGCTGCATGTGCCGGGGCATCTCCCCGTGTGGCACAGCGTCTGGGGACTCCTGCAGCTTCAGGACCTGGAAGTCCACGCACTTGCACTTGTCTGGCATGATGAAATAGGGGTCCAGCGGGCACTTTGGGCGGCCGGCTTGTTCTCTGTGCAGAGACATCAGTCAGGGAAGGCAGCTGGCACTCAGGAGCCACCCCTGGAAGCCCTTCCTGTAGAGGGGACAGTGGTGACAGAGCCCAGAGTGGTGCCCAGCAGGTGAGAAGGGCAGTCATACAGCACCAAACCTAAGGCTAAACAAGCCTTCTGTCTTGTCTTCAACAGCTGCCAAAAGCAGGCAGGAGAACAAGCCAAAGACAGGGTGATACGTGCCCGAATCCTTGCCCTGCCTCCCCGCTCTCCCCTGCCAGCTAAAAGCCAGGTAGGAGGTAATTCATTAATTAACAGAAGGTAACAGTATAGACTCAGCGACATGGCAGGGCATTTTTCTTTATAACCTGGCACACGAAGCAAATGTTAAGTGGTTTCTAGTGAGAAAGCAATTAGCAATGTGACAAGGCTGCCAGCAACCTCCCAGTCTCTCGAGACCTATCTGCCTTGCTAGACTACAAGCTCTCCGAGACAAGGAACACCTCCACGTCCTGCTGCCGTCTCAGTACATCACTCCTGATGCCTGACTCTGTGTAGGCAGGGACAGGGCTTTCGGGGAGGGTAACACAGAGTGCAGGTGCACTCACGCAGTCAAGGATCGGGAGCCAGGCACTGTACTGCCCACACGCAAGAACGACCCCTATCCTAAAGGCCTCTCAAGCTATGTTAGAGATAAGGCAGTGCAGATGCTTAATCTTGTGCAACAGGGAGCTGACTCTATGCAGTATGCAGGGGGCGGAGGGGGAGCAGTTTGAGGGGGGACACGGCCTTTTTTCCCCAACACGCATCCCCATGTCAGTCCTTACGTGTTGCATTTCCTGGGGAGAGCGTAACCCTCCAGGCCTGGGCGCACCGCGATGTTACTTATGGTGTTGCGGCAGCTGCGGCACTGGATGGTGATCCTGGTGGCCTTGACTCTCACAGGGGTTGCTGCAATGACGATCCCAGGGATCTTCACAAGGTGGGACATCTGGTCAGACTGAAAGGGAAAAGGCAAAGGGAAGGTGAGAAAGTCATCACTGGAAGATGGATGGGAAACTAAAGACGCTAAAGAAACACAGTTTTTTCTTAGCAACTCTTCCCACATTCATGGGACTGAGGTAACAGCACAAAAAAGCCTGCACAATGTCATTTTTCTGCTCTACAGCAGTAGAGGAAGGTTGCATGACTTAAGCCCTGCTGATTTCAAAGCAAGAGAGAAAAGGACAAAACACTTCATGCTGAACATCACTAGTAGCAGTAATGTCCCTGCTGCAGGAATCAGTACAGTCCTTTCCAGTTAGATTTAAGCTGCAGAGTATCCCTCCTTGTAAATGAGCGTACAACTCATGCACTGAGCTACGTGATCAAGTACCAAAAGCTTCCCTGCAATCACACCCACGTATGAGCAAGCCCCACTGTTCAATGCTCAGCACGGCAGCGGATTCACCTCACCTTCAGGCTGCGGATGTTTGCTGCGTTGGCATCCGATCTCAGCATCACCTGGATGTCTTGGAGAGCTTCATCCCCCGAAGGGCGAGGACGGGTGACCTCATCTGCCACTTCCTTTGCTGCTTCTTCCAGCTACAAAGAGATCAAGTAGGCCATTAGTGGTGTATCACAGCGCATCATCACAGCTGCTCTTGCGATGTGACGACGTCAACGCGCCAAGTTGCCAGCCTTCTCCATCCTTACCAGCTGCAGGTGCTCCGCTGGCTGCTTGTACAGGTAGTCAGCGAGATCTTCATCAAAGCTGGCCAAGTCTTCCATCTCCACCTCCACCCAGTACTGACCCAGGTTATAGTGCCGTTTAAGCTCATCCCTGGAAGGCAGTAAAAGCGGTCAAGGTTTGTAGGGCAGAAAGCGGCAGTCGCCCACAGCAACCTCACAACAAGCAGAGAGCAGAGAAGGCAGTGAGTGCTTGGTTTGGAAAGCAAACAGGGAAAATCAGGACATCACCAAGAGAGGTCTAGGAGGACCTGGGCAAATCTTTCACCCAAAACCACTTTGAAATGTGCCATAAGACCAGAGCTTACAGTAATGATGTAAAGTATAGCACTAATTATTGCACAACCAGAGAAGCAATTAGAAAGATCCTAAGGATAATACCTATTATACCTAATATATGATTTTAAAAAAGGAAGTAATAGCATAGCAGGCAATGTTCTCCTTAAAAAAGCCCATGTGCATGAAATTCAGATGAGAGACTGTCCCAGCCCTTGTGTAACACATCTGTATGTCCTTTCACAGTTGTCCCTCCAAGCTCCACAGGCAAAAGGATGGCCAAGGGACCTTCACAGCCTCCAAAGGCACAGGTGGACAGTGCTGCACCAATTTTGATGGATGCAGACAAAACTCCAGACCAGAAAGCACTAGAACTTGAGGACAGACCTTAGATTTCAGAACTAGGTGCAAGTTTGGTAGCGTGGATCCCTCTGCTGCTACCGGCAGTGACTGGCTGCCTAAAAATTTGGGAGCATGCCAGACCTCAGTTTTCCTCAGGTTAAATGGGAACAACGACGTTTCTTATGCTGACAAAGAGCTCTTTACAGTCTATGGGAAGAGAAAAGCTGGCGTGTGCTATGTACATCTGGGATGCACACAGCAGGAGGGAGGCTACCAGCAGATCGGATGTACAAAGAGGAGCGGGTAAGGGCCCAAAAGGAGAAGAGAGGTGACAGTCACACCTGTATTTGAAGGTGAAGCCTGTCCGGTCCGTGCCCACCCGGTACTGCCGCAGGAACTCCTTGAACCGCTTCTGCAGCTGCGATTTCCGGACCTGCCCCTCGTCCACCGACGCCTCACCCCCAAAACTGTCGCTGTAGTAAATGCCGGGGTCGTCGAAGCCGGACATAGCGACCGCTGCTGCTCTCCTGTGGAGACGGGTGCACACGATCATCCCCGGCCACTACCTCCTCCTCCATCGCACCAAGTGCCCCCCAAATCCGCCCTCTCTTCCATACTACACTCCCTCCCCACCGACTGCCCTACCCCCAATCCCATGCCCCCAAAACTGTCGCTGTAGTAAATGCCGGGGTCGTCGAAGCCGGACATAGCGACCGCTGCTGCTCTCCTGTGGAGACGGGTGCACACGATCATCCCCGGCCACTACCTCCTCCTCCATCGCACCAAGTGCCCCCCAAATCCGCCCTCTCTTCCATACTACACTCCCTCCCCACCGACTGCCCTACCCCCAATCCCATGAACCCCCCACCCCATATCCTACGTCCTCCTCC